CAAATTTGAACGCATCACAGCAGATACAGTCCAAGATATTATTACCATAGGAGTCATCACGACCTGCCTTCCACATATTCTTCAAGTCCTTACCAACCTGTTTAATAAGTCCTTAATGTCAAGCCTGTTCCCGAGGGACTGGAAAACCGCTGAAGAAGTAGCCCACCCGAAAGAAGACGACCATGAGGAGCCTAGCAACAACAGGCCAATCTCGCTTCTACCAGTACTATCAAAGATCTTAGAGCGCATTGCCCACAATCAGTTTGTGGAGTTCCTTGTTGCCAACAGCAAGCTTTCAGTCCATCAGAGTGGAAATAAACAGTTACATTCTGCTCTTTACAAGTCACCTGTTGAAAGCGATCGATGAGAAGAAAGTGACTGGTGTGCTCCTACTCGACCTAAGTAAAGCGTTTGATAGTATCAACCATCTCTTKGTTTGAAAGTTACTTAAAGGACAGGCATTTTACGCCTATTTCGTTGGCTATTCCTTATGGGAAGTGCAATTGCTTCAAGGCAAACGCGTGGACCGTCATGGACTGCTCAAATCTAAAGTTATAGAGAATTCCTAAGTTGGCTCGTTATGCTGAAATCTTGATTATGAAAAACAACAACTATCTTCATGTTCTGAAGAGTAAAGTTGTTCTGAAGATTTTGGCATTCCAGTGGTACGAGAGCAACTCCTTTATCTGTTGGGACGTTATCTCCAGTGAACTTGCGAATATGGATGCCATATATATAATCGATTATTGTTGGGGACAGAGGTAAGCCAAATAATGTGTGATCGACGTAGAATAGAACAATATAATAATAGCCAATCAAACTTCAAGATTCACATTGCATGCTCAATCATTCATTTGATGAAAGAGACATTTAGGATTTGGATAAAGTATTAATAAAAAAAACACTGCTATGCTATTAAAACAGTCCCGATGAGACAAATAAAAGCAAAGAAAATTTTTTTGTTTTTGTTTTAAGGAAAAGAATCAAGGGACAGACATCCTATCAACCTTCATCAAAGATGTATTCAAAGAGATGGAAGAGATTAGGTTAAAAGGCATCAGTCTTGATGAGAAAGTAACTCTGAAAATTGACTGGTGAGTTGAATTAGGTTTACTTTTTGTCATATTATTAAATTTTAATCAAACATATTAAACATACAGGAAATTCCCTTAGGCTATTATGTGCTGACTGGAAGTTTATGGCCATACTACTGGGTATAAATAGTCCTTACTCAGAATACTTCTGTTTGTGGTGCGAGTGCTGCAAAAAACTGATTAGAGATTTTACAAGTAAGTAAAGCAAAGAGAGCTTTTGATGGAGCTGAGTTAGAGTATCAGCAAGATATTTATATACTATACTCAAATTCTAATGGTTATCATAAGACCTGGTTTGAATGGTCTCATTTTCAATGAGAAAGAGAGCTGATATTTGAGAGATTTTTCAAAAGCTTCCTCCACATACACTGTACTGTAGCAATCTAATTCTTTGCTAAGGGAAGACCCTAAATCCTTGGGCTTATTACTTGAGAAATAATATGAGGTTATATTTGATAACTGGAATTAATATAAATGCTGTCTCTTATCAGTTGCAGTTTTAAAAATCACTCGAACATATGAAAACTGTGTTGAGAGAGCATTAGAAACTTTTACTGGAAACCGAAAGGGAGTACAGGCCATTCCACTGATAAATGTGAATTTTGAGAAGGTTATACCAGACACCCTGCATCTCCTTCTAAGAATTAGAGGGAAACTATTAAATCAGGTAAGTTCATGTANGGCAGCAAAATCCAAGGTTGAGGCCTATGTCAAAGATATTGATTTATAGATGATTAAAAACAAGCTAAAACTTAACGGTGATAAAACTGAACTAGTGGTACTTTCAGCTGCACATCGCCCTTTCTCATCAGAAGTGTCACTTAATATTCTTGGCTTTGACATTTTATCATCTTCTGCACGAAATATTGGGGTAACTTTTGACAAAAACTTTCGTTAGAATGCCATATAACAGCAGTATGGAAATCATGCTTTTTCCACATTCACAATATTTGGAAAATACGCAAATGGCTAAGTGTCAGTGCGTGTGAAACACTTGTGCATGCTTTTATCTCCTCAAAATTAGATTTCGGCAATTTCTTTGCTCTATGGTCTTCCAAAGTCCTCTATAAACAAGCTACAATGCGTGCAGAATGCGGCAGCAAGATTAATTTCTTTTACACACAAATGTGATCACATCTCGCCTATTCTTTACAACTTACATTGGTTGCCTGTAGAGCAACGCATTGATTATAAAATTCTTTTAATTGCCTTGAAGATTCTTAATGGAACTTCTCCTTCTTATCTTTCTAATCTTATCGAGCCTTATAAACCCTCACGTTTTTTAAGATCTTCATCGGCCAACTTGYTGTTTAAACCATCTTTTAACCTTAACTTTTATGGCAGAAGATCTTTTTCTTTTGCAGCTCCTGAGCTATGGAACTCTATCCCTGAGAACGTCCGTGGAGCCAAATCAATTTGTGTTTTTAAAAAAGAAATTAAAACTTGGCTTTTTAAGAAAGCCTTTTCACTTAAACAGTTCTGTATTTTTATAGTAAATAATTATTATTGTATTAGTGTTTTAGTGCAAAATAAAAAAAGGATGTTTATATCTTTTTTAATAAAGTTTTATAACTATTTTTATAAATTTTGTAAAGCACATCAGAACTTCATTGATATTTTGCCCTATATAAATACTATTTACTATTATTATTAATTTTTATTATGCATGCCAAGACGTAGCCAGAAGTCCTACGTCTGCTCCTTTATATGGCTGGCATCATCCCAGCTCACCCATGCAAAGACTTCACTTAGATTTTGCTGAACCGTTTCTGGGAAAGATGTCTCTCGAGCAAACTTTCTGGGAAAGATGTCTCTCGAGCGAACTGAATCTGAACTACTCCTCTGCTAATTCATTTAAATCTGCTTTACTGGAATATTACTTCATCGCCTTAAATTTCTATGATGCAGAAGATACGCGCTCATACAAAACTGTTTGTCTTAAATGTAATTTTTGTCGCAGTCTCGCCCGTACTGTAACTTGTAATTAGCTTTTATGGATCAACCGATTTATGTCACAATGGATTGTGTGACAAAAAAGTACCCATGTGATATGCCAGCAAAAAAGTACCCATGTGATATGTCGACCTGTGAGAGCTTGCATTTGAAATCTTACAGCAAGACAACTTGGTGTAATAGGTAAGGGTTAATGCTATAACTCAAAAAGCTTTCAATGTTGATTCAAGACGTGATGTTGGAATTGATTTAGCATTGCAAGTATAGTATGACACGACCCGTACTCCTGCTAAAGACTGATGCCATCAAGTTAATGATTCTACTGTGAGTGGTCTGCCACACAGCAAAACCCTCCGAACATGATTTAAGGTGCGGGCACAAGGGGCGATTTTGCGACGTCGCAAAAACTAGGTCGCTCCGTGTGAACACGCGTGCGACCATAAATAACCCAGTGTAAACATCATAGCGCTTTAAGATAAAATAATAATGACGCTACAATCATATAATATATATTTATGAAATATTATATTTAGATCCTTCCATTACGGGATAATTTTCACCATATATAAAGTNGGTGGTACTCCCCTATATTCGCTATACGGGGACATGCCGCCAACCAGGCTATCGTTTTCAGCGATTTTACTCTGGAACTGGGTATCGTTTTTAGTGATTTTACTTTGGAACAGGGTATAGATTTCAGCGAATTTTCTCTGGAACAGGGTTAGGGTTTGATTACAGAATTATTGATGCAGGGTAAAAATTCACGGGGTAAAATTTCGGTCTACACACAGGCTAGTTCTGGATTTTCTCTGGAACAGGATATCGTTTTCAGCGATTTCACTCTGGAACAGGGTATAGTTTTCAGCGATTTCACTCTGGAACAGGGTCAGGGTTTTGATGTCCCAGCGACACAACCCCACCCATGTTTGGAGTACCCTCCTCCCACTCCCAAAACAAAATCGAACTTAAACTTATTCTTAGTCGCGCATCCCTCTTTAAAATCACGTCTAAAGTCACTGACATGAAAATTTGTCCAAATCATCGTGCAAACCTTGGTTTTGACTGGAGGAGAGGCTCAAATTCCAGATGCAGAGTGACAAAAGCTTTGTCGAGGCACGGAAAAGTCGGAACGATGGCCAATAGTAGATAGTCGATAGTACTGGGCCGGGTTGTTCAAAGCCCGATTTGCGTTAATCCAGGRTTAAACATAGRTTTTCTAAGAGTTAACMCTTATCGGGCTTTGAACTAACCAGTGTTGTAACCCCAGTTGTAAGCCCAGTGTTCTAAACAAATTTTCTAAAACGCAGTTCGGTGGCCGTGCGCGCGGGCATAAAGGAAATCAATTACTCATAAGTGCCAATCAAATTTTGAATTGCTACAATTCTTTTTGTTTTGCTGAAATTATTCCTTATCGGCAAAAACAAATTTTAGCGAAGGCAAAGTTCTATGAAAATCTCTTAATAAAATAGATAAACAACAAATAAAGTTTTACGATAAGARTTAAAAATAGCATCACTTAGGCACCCTAATTAACCACAGGAAGCCCAACAGAAGATCAAGTATKGCCTGATTAAAAGTGGTTAGAACGTCTCAAAACACAAAAATTCTCGAGATAAACACAAGGTAAATGTTTAGTTYAGTTTATGCTTGCTCTTGGGTATGAAACACAACATAAAGCGATCTAATTTGTTGACGTGTTTATCAACTTGTTGGTTTCACACCTGTTGAAAATATGAATATTTCGGTAACTTTGGTCGGTTCTAGCGAAGCATAAACACATTTACCCAACGATATTTTTACCTAGATCGAAAGAACTCTTCCTTGACATTTTATCCTGCAAAGATCATTTGATTTGATCATATCGGTCTTTGTCAAATCGACGGCTATTTTGATAGTAGTTTTAACGATCAAAAACAGGTGTCATTTATAAAAATTCGCCAGAAANTGAAGAGTCAGTGACAATTTCACTAATAACAACTGATCGCCACACCTCTATCACAAGTGCAATGGAGAAAGACTACAGTCACATCTCACACCAATATGATGTATGGCATCTTTCTAAGTCAATTGTCAAAAAGCTCAACAAGAAAGCCAAACTAAAGAAGTATGAAGAGCWAGCACCTTGGATACAATCCATATCAAACCATCTCTGGTGGTGTGCTTCCACCTGCAATGGAGATGCTGCCTTACTAAGAGCAAAATGGAAATCYGTTCTTCACCACTGTACCAACAAGCATTCTTGGAGGGATTCTGATATCTTCAAAAAGTGTGCTCATCCCCGCCTTACCCGCAGAGAGGTGCTCAGCACATGTTGGCTAAAGCCAGGGTCACCAGCTCATGTTGCTTTAGAAGAGGTGGTGCTCCAGCCAAAGCTTGTCAAAGACTTGGCAAGATTAACTGAGTTTTGCCATACAGGGGGACTTGAAGTCTATCACTCTGTGATAAATAAGTACTGCCCAAAGAGAMASCACTTCTCTTATGAAGGTATGATTGCCAGAACCCAACTTGCTGCCCTGGACAACAATCTGAACACTGGTAGGAAGCAAGCAGTTATTGAGAAGGGCCCCAGGAGTGGTGAAGCTCGCTGGAGGAAGTGTTTCCCGAAGACGCACAAGCGCTGGGTTGTCAAGCCTGTATTAGAGAAAAAGAGCTATGCCTTCCTTCCAGAARTGCAGTTGAAAGTCCTAGAGGTGTGTGCAGAGGGAATGGAGGGTGCACAGATTGAGCCAATCGATGAAGTTGAATTGCCAAGCAACATTGCGAGCGAACCTGCCCCAGACAAACAAGAACTTATTCAAAGACACAGGACAAGGTTCTCTAGGTAATTTGATTCAGTATAGAGCAATTTTATTTAATCCYTGAGATAAAAACTAAATAGTTCTTAACAATTAGTCATTACTTTTTACTAAATAGATGATAGCTCTCAAGCGAATCAACTTACATGTATAGTTCAATATTCAGGACACATTAAATACAAGAATCAAATTTTAAGTCATTTATTCTTTATTACATTTGTACCGTGATATCAACAAAAATAAATGCAATAACTTGATGTCTCCTCTCCTGAGTATTAAACTATAAGTTGAATCGCTTGAGTGCTAATAGTGACTAATTGTTGAGAACTATTTAGTTTTTATGTGAGAGATTAAATAAAATTGCTCTATGTATGGAATAAACAATAACATGAAACTGCACAAGCACTAAAAAGTTCTAATTAATACAAACTTCCTTATTTCAGTTAATTAGTGTGATTTGGTACTAATTAGATTATAGTGCAGTTTCATGTGTTTGCACTCTGAGACTGAAATGTAAATTGTACAAAATATTGAGCTGTTGAAATATTGAACTGTTCTTGTTTTTCCAAACCCAGTGAAATGAAATTGAAATGGATGAGTACATTTTATCACATAGTTTGGCATAAAATGAAAATAACTTTGAGTATATTAATTATGCTTATGCATTTAAAAGGTTTTTAAACAACAAAAACAATGATTTACAAATGTAAAGATTAAGAGCAAACTTAGTTGTTGAAAATTATAAAACAAAGCTCTAGGTATTTGACTTGATACAGCTAATCTCTAAGTATTTGAAAAAGTAGTCAAACCACCAGATTTGTCGGCATGAAAGGGTCCATACACATATACTATCATATACTGTATATGTATTTTCTCTGGTTTAAATGAAATCACACTTTTCAAGTCATTTGACCATACTTCATACCATATAGTAAGTTACAATTTTTCATGTTCTAAAAGATATGACTGGATATGAACACAATATTGTATCATTGGTGCTATTAACAAGTACTTTAGACACTATTATCAAGCAGTTTTTATTAGACTGTGAAATACATAAAAACTAGTCAGTGTTTACAATTTCTAATAGTTATATTCCAATATATGAAAGCAGTGAATTCAGTGTTTTGACTCAAGCTTAGTAAGTCTTAGTTTATATGTCAAACCTTTCATGCTGGATGCAATTACATGTACATTAGAGACCTGCAATTATAATGATATCTATTGTTTGACTTGTACTTYMGCACATGACTTGTACCCTAAGCCTATCTTTTTGATTCTAGGACAATTAACTTAAATTTAAAATAACCTGAACTTTCAAAATAAAGTTTTATCTTACTGTCTATAAATTTATTGTCTTGTTAGTCTTATAAGAAAGCGTTCACGTGTATTCTATGCTGAGATATAAAGCCCAATACAGTGCTTGATCAGAACATGACAAAAGTGAAACATCTTTATAA